CCGCGGGCGGCGGGGGAGGGGGGGGGGAGGCCGGGCCGGTGGCGGAGAGGTCAGTCGGGGCCTCCAGGAGCCGCCTTGGCGGCAGCTGCCCGCGCTGGGGGCAGGAGGTCGGAGGAGCCGGGGAGGGTGAGAGGGCCGAAGCCGGCCCCTGAGGGAGTGGCTGGAGAGGTGCCCGCCGCCGCCGGAGGGGCTGCCCGCGCCGGGCGCAGCCTCGCGTCGTTGCCCCCGGCGTGCCCGTGGGCCTCTCGCTCCTTGCTCGGGTGAGTTACCGCAGGTTTCCTTCGGTCGTAGCAGGGCTGCCCGTCGCAGCTGTCCCGCCGGGGCCCTGTCCCCAGGCGGGCCGGGCCAAGCTGGAGCTGTTGCACAATCATGCACTTCCCTGAGGCGGCTTTGGGTCTGGCGCAGCCTCTCGCACGAAGCCCGAGGAGCCTGAGCCGGGGTGAGCCCGGCCTGGGCCTGGAGGGCTGTGGCCGGGATGCTCCCCCCGCTCCTCCGCCGGCTGGAAGGGCCTCTGGAGGGGTCTGAGCCAGGCCCCTCTCCGGGATGTTGACCCCGGTGGAGATAAGGCCTCGGTGGTCTCCTCTGAGACCAGTCTGTTGGAAGCTGAGGGGCGTCGGGATGCGTTTGTGTTTCGTGCTCTCGTGCTGTGGAAGCTCTTCCCCAAGAGCCTGGGCAAGTTGAGTGCTTTTGGATTGCAGACTGGTTGCACAAAGGTGGGGGTGAATAACTGAACACATAACCGAGCTCCATTTTAAATTTATATAATCGCTACGTGTTTATCTCGGGCTTTTAAATGGAAAACATACCCTTATCAACAAGTACTAGGTGCTTGAAACTTCATCTGGAGCTGTTTTAAGTCTTTTAATACTACAAATCTATGACTCAAGAGTTTTGAGGCTCTTTCAGTGTATGTCAGTGCAATATATGCTATGCGACAGTTTATTTTTAACAATGTTTATCCATCCTTTAGGATATTTAAGTGGGTACTTCCGACGGGTAACATCTCTTTAACAGTGTTGGTTATACCTTTATCTGTTTATTGAATGTTGTTGCTTCTCTATCTTAGGCTACTTATGGCTTTGCCTGGCCTGTCTGTTTTTCTAGCCCTGGGTAATGTGTCTGTGACCTCCACCTTGTCTATTCAGTTTCTTGGAATATACTCCAACAAAAATCAGGCTCTTGGCCCCATGCTACATAAGCACCCTGTGGATTTCTTCTTGCCTGTAGTATCCAGCTGTGGCACTTTTGCTCTCATTTCTGAGAGAACCTGGACAGAGTAATTCCTGTGTACCTGCTTGTGTACCTTTTTGTCCAGTCCGCTGTGACTTCTCAGCCAGTAAACCTACTGTTTCCCTACTTTGTCAAACCCACTTTACCAAGCCACCTGTTGTAATTTTCCTGTCTGAGCTCAACAGCTACTGGTTTCCCCTCTTACAGAGCTAGCCTGAAAAGACACTACGTTCTTCAGATAGTAGATGATGACCATCTTTGATATATAGTTTTAAATGTATTTATTAAATGGAGAATTCAAATAGCCTTTCCCATGAAGTGTTCCCTCAAAATGAGAGACAGGGAACACTGTCTTCATTTAGCCCCTTGGAATTTGCAAGCCAGTGGATAGGAAGGGTATGCAGTTGTGCAAATACAGTACTAGTTCTTAGTCTTTCATGTGCCTGGTAGCAATTGTCAGGGCAGCAAAGGTGAATGTGAAGGAGTGGCATTCACCTGGCTCCTTAACTGGTAAAATTGACACTTTCTGCTACATACTTCGGTGGGAGTTGGAAGTGCCATTGCCTGCATTATTCTTGAAAAAAGTATTCCTTTGTTGTACTTCTCTGCCTGGAAATAGGATGCACCTCTATATGCAGAGTTGAAATGTGATGTTGCCTTTTACACACTAATAACACAGACATCAAAAGACCTAAGAGAAAAAAAATGCAATGGAACAAGTGTCAGGATGTTTCAAATCACACTTGTGAAAGCATGATACTCTCATAGTAGCTGTTTTCTCCTTCAGTAAATTTGAAGTTATTGAAATGGTTGCTTGTAACCTTGTAAAACAGCACAACGGGCTCATCAGTTATTAAATTTTAAGCCTCGCAAAAAGAAGAGAGCAAAAAGAATTCACTTTCCAACACAAAGAATAAAGCTGTGAGTTTTCACTCAGAGTGAAGTAAGACCAACTGTAACAATTGGCAAAGCCATGTAAGCAAATAATTGAGTGCCTGAGTAAGTGTATCTGTTAGGATTTTTCTACCTAGAGAACTGCCCTTAAGAGTCTCCAGCTCGATTAGTGTGATCTCTTCAATCTAAAGGGCTTTAACGAGGAATTACGTGTACTTTTTTATGACATGCTGCATTAAATTGTCAAGTGAATGGGTTTATTTTTTATTCCCTAATGGCCTATCATTTCCACATGAGGTAGATTCTGCAGGCAAAGACAAACAAGTGCATCACTCAGGCCTGGCAACAAGTCTTTGTTTTTAGAGTTGGTTGGGTTTTTTGTTTTGGGTTTTTTCGTTTCTTGATAATGCAGTTTAATAACCCTGTTGAATAGGAATATCTGAGCAAGATACCTGTAGAAATATCTATGTATGCAGATAAATTTCAATATAAGAAAACATCCACATTTCTGAAATGTTATTTACTAAAATTTTGGACAAGTTTGGAGGAAGTAGATGGGAGATTGTCACAGGCTCTGTCTTAAGTAAAAATGTATTTCTTTTGACCCTCTTGGTTCTTCTGTGCTCACCTTGGTATCAGACTTGACTGACAGAGCTTTCTTTCCTTCAGAACTCACAAAAGAATATCTTTCAGTTAAGCTACTGGTAGATGTAACGCAAAGTAGTACGTTTACCTGAAATGGGTGTAGATTGATAGGAACTGACCCTGTCAATCCCTTCAGGAGAACAGCTAATTGGATATTATTGTTATTGTTGTAAATATCCATCATATGAACGCTATTCTGTAGTTTGTCTTTAAAATGTGCTAAGAATTTACAGTTATATTGGAAATTGATGGCAGTGCAAAAAGCTAATTGCCTCTGAAAATCTGACTTGAAGAAGTTTGTGGTTAGGACTCAAAGTTGGAGAAGAGTGTGGCTTTGAAAGTGTGTTGGGAAATATTTGAAAGAGACCAAGCTGGAACAAAAAAGAACATTCAGTGTAAGCAGAGGGCAGCTGGATGATCTTGTGTGCTTTAAAGAACTTGAGACGTTTTTACAGCACTGTGTGGGTGGTTAGGAAGGTTTGTGTACACTTCCCACTAATGCTCATGGGCGAGAATAAATTTTGGCACTCTATTCCTTTTTTTTCTTTTTCTTTTTTTTTATTGAAAAATATGGGTGGTATAATACTTACCCTGAATAAGAAATGAGCAGTTAATGTATAATCCTGAAAGACAAGGATATTGTTAAAAATGTGTCAGGTTATTATATCTAGTGTTGCACCTAATACCCTTTTGATTTGGTTTCTTTTCCTCAAGTTATATATATTAAATTGGCAAAGCAGAAAAATATCTGTTTCATATGTGTTGCTACCTTTATGATCCTGACTGAAATGAATGTAACAATAGTATGTTGAATATATTTATTCCATTAGAGAAATCTCAGGTACCTTTGTGGAATATGCTGGGCTTTGAGAGATAATGAGGAACGCTAGAAATGGAAGGAGCCAAGTGAAATATTCATTCATTTACTTTCTCAGTAAAATCAATTCATACTATTTTTTAATGTAATTTTTCCTATATTGCTGTATAATCTTTGGAAGCTTATGGAGAGAATATAGAAAGTTCAAATGATGAGAACAAATGACACCAATTGTGCCCATGCCTGCAACACTGGATGCGTGCTTCACTGGAAAGAAGGAATCTGTTTGATTTTTTTTTTTTGTATCTAGAATATTGCTTCTTTCCTTTTTTGCCCCTTTGAAATTATAAAGATAAGCTTTAAAATGACTAAACCATTCACTAAAGTTCAGCCAATTTGTGAAAGTGTGATGTATTTGCAGTGATGGTGTTGGCTGAGGCTAGTGCAGTACAAGTCCGGGCAGTAACCTGTCGGCATGAATTAAATATTAATCCCCTGCTGCCGTGCTTGAACTGCAGCCAGCAAAAAGTCCTCCAAAGTCTCCAGGTTAATCACCTAGTTAAAGTTTGTTTTGGCCTCCATCTCATTCCAACCCTTAGTAACCTATTATTTTAATAGAGCACATTCCTAGAGAACTTGAAAGGGTTTGAAGTCTGTTCGGTTTTCTGATACAACGTATTATACTGAGGTTGGACTTTGTGCCACTGAGTGCAGCTTTAGGTGAAGGGAAAAGAATACAATGCGTTGGCTAGATTAGGGCTTTTTTTTCAGTAATAATCTAGTTTAACTGGTTTTGGAAACACTTAATCTGCTACCTGTGCAAGTCCTTCTGCATAAACCAATGAGAAGTCAGGTAGGAGGGGTTGGAAGTCATGGCTTTGAATTCATGTTATCCAAAGATGACTGATACACAGGGAACTGAACTCCTGCTCAGGATTGCTCAATGCTAATACTTTTATGGCATATTTGTTTTATTAAGGTGAACAATTCAACCAGCCAGTAAGCAATGAAAGGCAGCAGTGCTATCTGTGGTGTATAAAACTACTGTAAACCAGGGAAGGCTTATCTGAAACAGATACCGGCAAATACATTTCAAGTAAAGATAGGTATTGTGTACTTTTATCTTTCCTACCCAGTAACGGCTTTCTATACAGGAAAAGCAAAGCTAGCGACAGTCACGTATTAATTGGCAGTAACAAGAGGTTAATTGATCTTATAGCACTTAAGTTTTTCTAAAGTATAAGAACAGTATTACTCCTTTGTGCAGCACAGCACTGAAGCAAGCACAGGGACAGCTCTGTCTCAGGACTTCTTTGTTTCGGTGATTTTTAGATACGTATTTCTTAATATTTCTTTACCACCTTTTTAAAATAAGGAAATGAAAAAATACATTCCCCAGCAGAGTATCATTTTAATATTAGTTTTACCATGTTCTACCTTGACGTGCATAGCCCAACAGTGCCTGTTTCAAATAAAAGCAAAGTATCTCAGAAGCATGCACTTAAATTAAATATTAATTTGCATAACCAAGCAGTCTGTAACAACATCAAATAAAGATAAAAATGTTTAATTATCTGACTCCTTTGGAGAAGAGGATTTGTCTTCATCTTATGAAGCATCTTCTGTTTTCTGTCATTAGCTGTTCTGAATTCTTGGTAAAATATTTGTTCAGTT